CAACAGCAGATCGGAGCCAACAAAGAACTACAGCAGCCTCCTCTCAGCGTCTCCCGTCTCACCACCCTAATGCTCCTGCTTGGCACTCAGTGGCTGGAGAATCCTTCCCTGTGCACATGGCAGTCAGCCTGGAGTTCCATAACCAAAGCGATAACCAGTGACCCCTAGCGATAAAGCTGTTCATTCGCCCACAAAGTGTGGAACGTTCATGGAGAGCTCGACGCCTGCCAATGACCCTGGGGGTGAGGATGGTGCACGTTGTACCGTAACCATCCTTCCCCATGGAAGGGCTGCCTGCACTAGGAATGTATCTACTGGGACAGGGACAGGCCTGTTTGGTCCTCCATTTCTGTAGATGCTGTGAGAGGTGTTAACAAAAGCCCTACCCTGGCATTCAGGGCAGGAAAACGAGGACAGTGGACCTCAGCCCCGCATTCAGCACAGCCAGGCTGTGTGTCCTGTGTCTGTGGGGGCTCCCACTCAGCCACTCATCTTTCCAGCAAATGTTTATTGAGGGCCTATGATTGGTCAAAAGCAATGCTGTGCTTTAGGGAACATAATGAAAAACACCCAGACATGGTCTATGCCCTACGGGACACGTGTATTCATGTATCTACTCAACACACACTCTTGAATGTCTCACAGGCACCTCAGACTCAGCTTGTCCAAATCCGGACCTCTACACAAAGTCTCTGTGGCAGGAGGGTTGTGGCTTCTATGAGAGACAAAATAAGGCCCATAGAGAGGGGACAGAGAGTATGAGTGGGCACAGGGTTTGAGAGAAGGGTGATGGAGAGGTATGTAGAGGTCAGACTATGAAGGGCCTTGTATATGGTACTAAAGAACTTTTCTTCTATTCTAAAAGCAATTGAAGATATTTGAGGCAATGGAGATGGGGGAATAGCATGATCAAATTTTCCTTTGGAAAAAAAAGAGTCCAGTTGTGGTGGGAGAACAAATTGAAGTAGAGCCAGATGTATATGGATGGGCCAGTGCAGTAGACCATGTGGGCGATGATGAGCTAGGACTAGGGTGGTGGTCATAGAGAAAAGGGTGAGTAAATAGATCCAAAAAGTGAACTTCATTGGCTCGATGGCAGATTCCATGTGGGGATGGTAAAATAGGTGGTGGTATCAAAGATAAGTCACAGCTCTCCATCTGGCACACAGAGATGGCTGCTTGTGCGTTTGCTTGAGACAGGGGACACAGGAGCAGAGCAAGACTGAGGACAATAGGTCAGCCCAGCTGTGTCCGTGTTGCATTTGCAGTACCTTTGGGACATTCAAGAGATGTTGAATGTAAGAGTGGATGGGTCTAGAGATGGCAGGCAGGCACAGAGGCGGCAATCTAACTTGATGAGTGTTCCCCACAGTGGTGATGTCTGGGGCTGTTGATCTGGATGCAGGATAACTTTGGGTGAAAAATTGGGATACCTAGGAGGAAGATTTGAGGAACTGTGATATTTAATGGCCAGGTGAGGGAGATGGACCGGCAAGAGAGACAGAGAAGAAGCAGGCAGTGACGTGGGAAGAAAGTCAGGGGAGTTGTTTCTTTAGAAGCCAAGGGGAGAGAGGGTTCCTCAAGGAGGCGGAGATCCCAGGACTGAATGCTGCTGAAATGTCAACCAGGGTGAGCGAGAGAAAATGTGTATCAGTTTTCCTGACAAGGAAACCATTGGGTGACCTTGATGAGAGGTGTTTGGGTTCAGTAAAGGGGAATGCGGCCAGGTAGGGAGGACAAGAGCAGCGTTCGCAGAGTGAGGAAAGGGGGCATTTACAGACTCATCTTCTGGGCTGTTTGGTTTTGAAGAGGAGGGAATACTGCAGAAATGAAGTGGGAAGGTTTTTGTTGTCATTTGTTAGTCTGCTTGTTGGTTTAACAAGAGAAACAGAAACAAGTTTGTAAGACAATTGGAACATGAGGCTGAAGATGAGACTGTGGATATAGAGGGAACGAAAGGGAGAAGGGACAGTGGGAGATGCTGAAGGAGGGAGTGAAGGGAGCTCACAGTGCGACAGAGGGGTTGGACCAGGAGGAGGGGGTGGTGGCTCCCCTGCTGTAAGAGGAGAGAATGGGGCCAGGACGGGGCCACTGTCAGCGAGTTTGTGCATTTGGAATCGAGACTATGAGGGAGTTCTTCTCTGATGGCTTAACCTATTCCTATAAATTACGACGAGACGTCATATTTGGAGGGCATGTAGGAGTGAGAGGGGAGAAGTAGTGAGGAGAGGCAGAGAGTTTTAAGTTGTTATTGTGGAGAATGAGGACATGAGTAAACCTGAGGAATATGGTGAAATTGCAGAGTAGCAATGAAGGCAATCTTGAATTTTCTAGAAGCCCTCAAATGTGTGACAACAGGCATGGAAACAAACAGCGTTCATGCAAGATGACAGTTTTATCAGACAAGTGTTTCAGAAAGACACAGAGCCAGGAAGTTTAAGTCATTGTCAAAAATGCTGCTGAAATGATGGACCGTTGAGCTTCATGCAGACTGAGCAAAGAACCATGAAGCAGAGGGATAGAAGAAGAGGGTCAGTGCCTAAGAATCACAATGAGGCAGGAGTGGGGGGGGACTGTGGCCAGAGAAGGAGTGCTTGGGCTGCTGGTTTTTGAGGTGCAGCACCAGAAGGACTTCCAAGGGGCGACTGTGCAAGTGAGCGGCTGCCGGGAGAGAAGGCAAGGGTCTTTGAGGATAAGCAGACAGAGGGACTGAGAGCTGGCTGTGTTGCTGGATGAGGGGTCCAGGTGGACGTTGAGTTTGCCCAGGATGATGGTGGGAGAGAAAGACTCTGAGGTAGGGTTCCTCATCTCCAGGGAGGGAGGCAAAGTGATGAAAGGATGGGAATCCAGGGCTGTCCCAAGAGGCTGGAGGCTAACTGGTGGTCTGGAAGCAGCTGCAAAGCATCTGCTAGAACACCAGCCCCTCCGGATCCGTGGTCAGCGGCATCACAGAGAGCGTCACAGCGCCAGCTGGAGACGGGTGCAGGGGAAGTGGTGTCCTCAGGGAGCAGTACATTGAAGAAAGAGAAGAGGAGAGAAAGACCACAGAAGGGAGCAGTGCCTGAGGCTCTGAGGTGGTTTGCAGGGGATCAGGAAGGGAACCTCTGGGGCTTTGGAGAAGGGAAGGGAAGTTGGACTCCAAGCGAGGGTGTTTCTCTCCTCTCTCGTACTTTGTAGAGCTGCGACAAGCACATGCAGGAAACACGTGGGTTTGTCCAAACCTTTTCCTTGGTTTCAAGCCACGGCGCATTCCTAGTGAAACGGCACCAACAGAGCCCAGGGGTTTGCTCTCTGACCAAACTGTCCGCAAAACAAGCGAGTGGACCCAGCTGGCCTGAGCACGTGCTGGAACAAAATGTTTCTGCTTTACCAACAACACGGGTCGTTGCCCACAAACGCCGTGCTTGTGCTGGCCTACATGCAGCTTGCTCTTACCGAACTTATAGTACTTGTTACCTTTATTTTTACTGTCAAAATATAAAAAGACTTTGGCACTCATAGAATCTTCTTGTCTGAGATTAAAGCTCACTTTCTGATTGCTGTCTAGTGGCCAAGTATGGAGAAATATTTCTAAAAAGGGTGTCACGAGACGGGGAAATGACTCTGGAACTTTTCCTGTAAAACCTGATATGAACGAGTCACATTCTTACTTGGCACAATGAGCTGACCAGCTCGGGCGTTGCTACCCACAGGATCTTCTCCTCGGGCAGGGGATCCTGTTGTCAGACATTCCTGTGCCAGTAATGGATATGCAGAGCTCCTCCTCCAGGCTCAGAACTCCCCCTTCACACAGAAATGCAGAATTCATCATTCCCAGGAAAGCCCGATGGGTGGGAACCTTGAGAATTCCAAGAGAATGCAATCATTCTTCTGCCTCTCCCGGCTGCCCAGTACATTCTCCTCCATGTATCCTGGCCCCACCGAGAAGCACACCCACAGCGCCCAGCCCTCTGGGGAGGGCTGGTTCACCCTGCTTTGCTCTGCATTAGCTGCTGCATCGTACCACCCCCACCCCATCTCTCCACCACTGGGCTGTTTCGACTCTAAATTCAGATGCCTACTGGTTTCTCGCTCGGGGACTGTCCGAGTTGTGGAGAGGCCCTGATTCCCTGAGCATACAAGAACCAGGCAGCACTGACGGGAGGGAAGGAGAGGGAGAGGCAGAGCGGTGCTGACACAAGGTTGGCCACCGAGGCACGTTTCTGTGAGCTTTTTGGGAATGTCATCTTCCAAACCCCAGATTCAAGGTCACCTCACCGTGGTGACTCCTCATAGTCAGGAATTTAGGACCCAGAAACCTGAACCCCGACTTCAGCTAGCATATCGTGGAGCTGTTGCTCGCCCACAGCCCTCCCAGGTCCACAGCCCGCTCTGGGAATACCCCGCCCCAGCTGCCCTTTTGGCCGTGATGCCCATGGACCACTGGACAGTCAGGCCTCCGTTCTTCCCTAGGTGCCGTCACCCGGGTTGGAACCCTGCTGGAGGGTGATGCTCCGCCTCCTCCGTCTCTCACTGAAAGAACTGTGGACTGTTTGTGATCACACCCTGCAGGGAGCACGTGCTGTGAGAGTTGGCAGCTCCCCATACGGCAAACAGTTAGTTGTAGGAGGCAGGAGACCAAGTGGGTTCGTGTGAGATACGTATTAACAGGGAGCCTGTCAGACAATGGCCCTGCTTTCAAAGGCGGCTTCCCCCCAAGGACTGGTTACCAGCAGGAGAAATAGCTTTTTAAATGGGCTTCTCCTTTGACGTCGCTTCCTTTCGTGTCCTTGGTGAAGACGGCCAAGGAGGACGGAGACTGGTGCTTCCACTCCGGGCGTGCCTGCTGTCAGCGAGGCACTCGGGGAGGCTCTCTGAGGAGTGCCACTTGTTTGTCTGAAATCCGTAGCTGGGCAACGGAGGGCAGTTCAGAGTCGAGAGCCAAAGCTGAGAAGAGCTGGCAGCCCGCTCCAGGGAGACCCGCCGTGGTGGGCATCTGCAGCCAGGAGAACCAGGCCCTTGGCACACTGGAGTCCTGGAGGCTGGGCCTCGCTGCCCAAAGTCACACAGGGGACGGAGCTAGGACCAAGCCCAGCTCTTGCAAAGGCCAGGCGGTGGGTCTCCACACTGGCTCGTGTGTTTGGTGCTCTGTCACTCCCTGGCACCTTCACCCATCACCACACCGATCCTCAAAGGAACAGAATCCAGCAAGGTCTACACAGAGAGTCTTACCCCGGTTCACAGCGTTTTTCACTCTCAGTTCATTTTCTTCTTTCACTTATCTTTGGAGTGGCTGAGATACTAGAAAATGTCTCCAGGCCGTACTGGGGATGAAGCAGAACACGGGGCAGGGGCCCAGCTGTACAGAAGACTGCCTGTTCTATTCTCTTAATTCTTGCCTCTCGGACCTGCAGCATAATCCTGTTGGACGCTGATGCCTGAGGCAACGTGTGCGCTGGGAACAAGGAGCTGGAGAAACAGGTACTCTCTATCCCCAGGCATCAGCAACCACACACAGGCTGCTCTCTTCTGGATCCGTGTGCATTCTAACCATCAGAGAGACACTCCCAGTGTAAATTAACACCATCCATGAGCTAGGCAACAGTTCTCAACCGACCCACTCTCACTGCGGAGGGACCTTTACTCCTGAGTCTTTGGCTGTGGCTTATTGGAGAGAGGACAATACGTGCATGGAACTAAATTTTCATCAGCCAAAAATGGAAATGACCTGAGGTTTCATATTAGGAGGAAGTCAAGTACTCTGATGAATAGAGGAAATGGAGGGTGGGCATAATTTATTACAAAATAGGCAAAGACACAAAGGTCCCTCCAGTCTCTCAGGAAAGCAGCTGGCCTGGGGACAGCGGAGGGGAGGGGAGCCAGGAACGGCCTGCTCCTCAGAGGAAGCCCCGGGGAGCCGGGCCACCCAGCAGTTCTCTTCTGTTCCTCTTACGTCTGCCGCAAAGGCTGCCCTCTGACCTGGTGAGAGGAGCTCAGGCCATGAGGGACAGCAGTGGGTGGCTCTGTCCATTTTGGGGTGACCCGTCTGCTGGAAGGAAGGCACAACGTAAGAACTCAGTTGGAGGGCTGAATGATCCTAATTCTGAATGTTGATGGAGAATGCTTGAGAAGCTTGCAATCCATGATAGATCTGCCAGAGAGGTGGGAGCTTTGTCAGGGCCTGCAGATTGACAGAAGACATCTACTCTTCTCCTGAAGAAAGTTTGCCATTCGTAATGATTGGTAAGTTCAAGAAGGTCGGTGTGGGCAGTGCCCTACATTTCCTCTCTGGTTCTTCATGAGGTCAAAGTGCAGACGCAGGAGGACAAAGGGACTCCAGCCTCCGAGAAGGATCCATGGTGAAGTGCCTTCCCCCTCACAGGCTTCTGTCCCTCTCTCTGTTTGTTCTGGCTGCAAGGGAACAGCCACAGGGCAGCTTCTTCTCTTGCATGAGCTTGAGAAGGAGCCGAGCGGCCTCAGCAGCCAGGCTTTGTTCCTGCTCATGCTCTGTGGAAGATGGTCAAGTGGGGTTTCAAAATTGTGAGCGTAGGTCCACCTGGTGTCAATTCTTAGTCCCCTCCGTGGTTAGCGTAGTCCTGGTCCAGGGCACGTGTTCACTGAACACGGGTTGAGAACTGAACGTGTTAGATGTGGCCCAGAACATTCATGAAGAACCTCATGTTCTCAGGTCATGTTTCCTTCCAGATTAGATGATTATGAGGATTTTTTGCATGATTTTTCTTCCTCTCTACCCTTCCCTCTGCTTTTCTCCATCCTTTTCTACAGAAAGTTTGAATAAATGGCACCTTGAACTGCTTCTCTCCAAGTTGGGGGTTAAAATAGTGTTTTCCATGATGCTGTTGACCCACAAAGTCGAGTGTCGCACTGAAACCCACAAATCAAAGCTGTGAAGGCTGGAGAGAGCCATTCTGCTTGGGATCTCTCTCTGTCTCTCTCTCTCTCTCTCTCTGTCTCTGTCTCTGTCTGTCTGTCTGTCTCTCTCTCTCTAAGGAGTTGTCGTTTGTAGTGTTAGGTTAGGAGGTGGGGTTAGATTTGAGATTGGCTTCATTTTTCTATCTTCTAACAGCAAATTCTACTTTAGAAATGAAGGATGGGCACTTGGACCACAAAGTTTAGTGCCCAATGGCCTTCTCCTGGAGAGTTGCTGCAGGGTCCTATTTCTAACAAGTCAATGCAATGTCTCGGTTTTAAGACCCTTCCCACCCACCATCTAGAAAGCAGTCCTGATATAACGAGAGACTTCTCCCGAGCTTCTCTCTCCTCTTGGCCTGTCCAAGTCCTCGCCTCACCTAAGAGACACGGTCAAGACTTCCCTGTAACCCAAAGCTCTGGGGACATCCCGGATGTAGCAGTTTCTGTGAACTTCTTGTGGTTGGAATCCTCCAGCCCTTTGCTATCGGAACTGAACAAGTGTGCACTCAGCGGTGTAATGCTTTGCTCATCCCTCTAGTCTCCTAGAGCCAACTCCTTGATGATCTGCCCCCAATCTCCCAATGCTGCATCCTGCCACAGGCAGCCCCTAGGATGGCCCAATAATCCCCACCTCCTAGTACTCATTTTCCTGTGTAATCCCCTCCCCTTGTGTGGGCAGGACCTGAAGCCTGCTTCTAACAAACAGAATATGGCAAAGGGATGGGATGTCACTTTTGAGATTAGGTTATGAAAAGATAGCAACTTCCGTCTTGCTCTCTCTCTCTCAGTTGTCACAGCTTGCCTGCTGTACCAAAGCAAACTGCCATGTTGCGAGCTGCCCTGTGGAGCAGCCCGTCTGGCAAGGAGCTGAAGCCTCTTGTCACCAGCCAGAAAGACCCTGAGGACCTGTCAGTCTCCACGTGAATGATCTCGGAAGCTGATCCTGCCCAGGGCAAGCCTTGAGCTGACTGCAGACACCTTGATTTCAGCCTGTGAGAGACTCTGAGTCAGAGACACCCAGTAAAGCTGTGCCCCAACTCCTGACCCACAGACGCCAAGAGATAATAAGTGGTTGTTTTTTTAAAGCACTAAATTCTGGAGGAACATTATACGCAGCATAACCAATACGACCCCTTATGGAAGCTTTTCTCCAGCTTTCTCTTCCAGCGCAGTAGAAGTGCCCTGGGGTGGGGGCTTGTTTAAAACACACACATTCAATGCTACCCTCAGAGACTGCAATTGTTGAGTCTAGAGTGGGACCCTGAAAACTCCCTTTTTTTTTTTATTGATGTTTTAATGGTTTCTAACATTGTGAAATTTTGGGTTGTACATTTTTGTTTGTCCATCACCATATATATGACTCCCTTCACCCCTTGTGCCCACCCCCCACCCCCACTGCCCCTGGTAACCACAGTCCAGCTGAAAACTCCCTTTTTAACAAGCATCCTGGAGCTACTGATGGTGGTTCAAGGAGCAAGAATTGAGAAATGCTGCCTGAGCACCTTCTGGGACCCCTCTAACTGCAATATGTCATTGTCACAGAGGGCCAAGGGTAGAGGCCAGCTTCATTTATGGTCATTAGATGTTATCTATGGAGAAATTTCTAAATGAAAGCACCATGCCACTTGTCATACATTGTGTTCTCCAAAGAAGGCTGCTACAATATCCCTGCCCTACAAGCTCTTCTCCAAGGTGAACTTGACCCTCCTCCCTCCAGAGGTCGAGTCTAATTCCCACCCTTGGATCTAGGCTGGCTCTTGATTCAGTTGTGACCAATAGAATGTGGAAGTGATGCTCTGTGACTTCTGTGGCTAGGCGAGGAAAGCCTTGCCTTCTGCCTGGTTCTCCAGGATCCTAGATCTAAGGGAAGCCAGCCTCCGTGTAGGACGTTTGATTATCCCAAGACCACCATGCCAGAGGGGCCATGAGCACACGCTTTAGTTGACAGTCCCCCCTTGGTTGTCACCCAACAGCCAGTGTCACCTGCCAGCTATGTGAACAAGCCATCGTGAATGGCCAGCCCATTAAGCTTTCAGGTGGCATCTGATTCTGACCCTATGAGAGGCCCTCTCTTCCCAAACCCCTGACTCACAAATCATGAGTAAAATAAAATGGTGGTTGTAAGCAACTGAGTTTGGGGTACTTTGTAACACAGCTATAGTTGAACACTACTCAAGCTGGAAATGCAGACGAAAAGGCACATTCTCTGCCCTTAGCTTAGTGACTAAGACCATGTAAAGAAAGAATTATAGTCAAATAATAAAATGATTGTGACTTTCTGGGAATCACATACAAAGATCTAAGGAGTAAAGGAGAATGAGCCTGGAAGAGAAAGCCTGTACTTAGCATTTGAGCTGAGGTTTGAAGAAAGAGTGAAGCTTGCCACCATCCCAAGCCATGGGCAGCACACCCACGAGCAGCAACAAGCCCTAAGACTGACACGCACTCCAGCAGGAGTAGGGAGTTCAAGGGTGGAGTGAGGGCTGATGAAAGCAGGGAGGTCTGCCATGGACAAAGCGGCTACCATATGGGAACCTGTTATACTAGGCCAAAGAATGCTTATTTTATCCTGGGCCCAGCGGGTGAGCCATCGGGGATTTTGGAACATGCTTATCTGGGTGGCGTAAACCTCCATTTGTTGGTGAATAAAAAGCGATAACTCTTTGCCAATCAACTGAGTGGAAAAAGAGCTGAATTGCAACCCAAGCAACTTCTATTTAAGTCCTTGTGACTCACCCCATGATCTTGCAGAGATGACTTAAGGCCGGGGCCCTCCCTGTAAACACCTGTCACTTCCCCGGTTTGCAGAGATGCTGGGAGGCTAATGAGATCACACGTATGGAATGCATGCGAGCTTCTGGGAGAAAGAAACCAGAAACATTTGAGATATTATTATCATCATCCCAGCCGTCTGGAAGTCAGCTTTCTAACAAACCCAAGGGTTCAGAAGCCAGAAACTTCAAAATAAAGGAAAAATAAAGAAAAGTATTTGGCCCCAGAGAAAGCAGGAAGTAGATACGGAAATGACTGAGGAGGTGGAAATAACACAAAACAGGATACGCCTGGTTGTGGAGGAAATGCCCACACTCCTTGGAGGGA